TCCTTTCAATTTTGGTGCTCTCAAAAATGTTACGAAAAAGGTGCAAAAGTTTAAATTACTATGCGGCGTAATCTACTGAACGTAAGAGAAAGAGATACGTTCTGGAGTCAGTCAGTGAATGAAAGTGCATAAAGACGTCCTCAAAACGCTGCTTCCAGGAACAGCGAAACTGATGAGATAGCAGAAAGGCATGCAAGAAATGGTTTGATTCCACTTATATCAGCCTTCGCGTGCACGGGCTCATACAGTAATATGGCGATAACACACTTCCGCGCGATATGTACATTCAGAATCCCTAAACTCGCATTCAATGCGAGTTTAGGGTCGTCAAATCGCAGTCAAAATCCTGTGCCATGCAGTCCAGAGTGGAGAGGCACATTCGCCCTGGCCAAATCCACATGTCAAGGCTGTATGGGTCTGCTGTGTCTCCCGTCTCTATTGATACCAGACGAAGATGCATGGCATTCGTAACGCTCAGCTAATGAAATTGCCCTTCAAATTATTCGTTTTAGGAGAGTCAAGATTCTCAAAAGCGTGGAGAATGGCATTTACACCCTAAAAGAAAGGAAGATATATCGCCAAATATTCCCTTCCCTTATAAGCATCCATAAATTTTTCTTGGAATTCTAGGCTCATAATGAAGAGTATTTAGGAATTTTACTTACTACTCCTACATAATTCTCCTTTGGATACCAATTGACCAGTTCTCCATCTATGGCATCTATTGCATATTCCCTCAGAGCGTCATCGTTCTCCTAATGGAATGTAACGGATTCATAATGCAAGATTGACTTCCTAGATTGACTCGCGAGGGAGATTAGAGTGAAAGCAGAACTCACCGATGGCGAAGGCATCACATGTTGCCATGCAACTGGCAGCATTCGCGCCTGGCACAGGATTGACGAGAACGAGAAAGCGAGAACTGCCTGTAATATTGAAAGATTAGGAAAAACTGATTTTATTCGTAATCTTAGTAATTTCATATTATATAAATATACTCATAAATCCATGACAGTCAGTTCCAGATTCGGTTAGGCATAAGACCTCATCCCCTCATTCAATTCTTCTTAGTAGGGTAAAGGCGCCAGTTTGTGGACGGGTTAAGGAAATTTTCCGCTTCAAAATTGCATTACAGTCGTTGGGGTAAGCGAGAAACCGCTTGATTTGTTTCAATGAATAAAGATCGGCAGAAGGCTAGGAAACGAAGGAATTCTCCTCCCGTTTCCCGAACGACATTATCTCACCACTTCAAAAGCATTAATCCTATGAGTTGGATGAACAAGACTCGAACTCCAGGACGGCCCAAGATATTTAGCTCCTCCTTGGAATAGGGTTAAAAATTCCTGTAATATCTTAAAGCACTGCAATTGAGTAATTGGGTTGGATACCTTGTAAAGTTGCCAAATGCAAATGTGTCGAATGCTGCAGGTCGGCATTAAAGATGTTTTCATATATTTCCGATACATAATCTTCCAGGAAGGAATAAGTAATGGGATTTTGAGGCTCTGCGATAAGATGTTGACCCCTGGCGTTCCCAAAGGAAGATCAAGGGAAGGCAGGAAGCGGTTGGGAGGGGAAGAGGGGAAGAATCCCGATTCCTTCATCCTGAGGGGACGACCGAGATTCGTCGTCTTACCCATCCGACTGCTCTATACGAGAGCAGATTCCACAGCATTTTAATCGTACATCCGTTTCAGTCATTACTCCTTCTGGCATTCTTGGGTGCGAATTGGGGCGAGGCTTCCTTCCGCTCGACGACATGAAGGGTGTCGTTGTGAGTTCTTGCACCTTAAGCCTTATTTTTCAAAGGGAAGAGTACAGTCTGCACATTGAAAATACATCCTGAAGCTTCATTCTCCATCAAATAAAAGCAAAAATACTACAGAAACTTCGACCTAATCGTTATTGAGCAGATGGTAAATTCTTTGGCAATCAAAGGCCGTCCTCCTTCAGCTTTTGATGGAATGTCCTGAACAGGGTAATGAATGATAATCAAGGGAACTAAGGGCTATACCGGATCAAGCGCGTTTGTGGGGTAAATGACTTACTTCCTAAACATTTATAGCTACATACATATATTTTTGCCTATTCGGGAAGTCCTCAACATACTTTCAATACTCAGCACTGAGAGATACTCTGAGAGATGGCTAGATAGGAAAATAAGGTAGAAACCGCATGATTTCTTTAAAAATCTCGCATGGAATGCACCTGTTCGGGATTCGCTTTTTATTGTAAGTTTCATTGCAAACTTATCATAAAATTTGCTCCTTTACTTTCCCGATGAAGCAAATTCCGTAATAAAAACATGAAAAAAAATTTTGCTGGGAACCCCTTCCAGCGTCGGCATCGTTAACCCTCTCATGGGTGAGTTCTTTCTAAAGAATTATGCACTTAACCACTTGGTAAATGATTGCTATTTGAATACGATGAAGAAAATGTTATCACATAGTCCATCTCCTAGGCAAATTAATGGCGAATGAAATCATCTTTTTTTTCCCCCCTTAAAATCATTCAAAACTGATGACTGTATATTCGTATACATTATTTTCGTATGCATTATATGCATTCATATACATAATAACTACTGAAATATTAATATTACCGGTCTTTCAGTACGACAGGCAGTCTTTGCATTATGGTTCTCGGCAAGCTGGGGCTAGACGCTAGTGCCGCCAGCCTCTTGGCAGCACCTTACCGCTTCCCAACCAGTGAGTCCTCTTGTTACGTCAAAGGTTACGTATATCTTGGCTGCTCCTCTCTGAGAAACGACTCGACGACGATGACCGTGGAAGAAGTAGGGTTCCATGGATGGAGAACGCGACAGCACGTCCCCGATAGACGATGAGGATATCGAGTACCAGGGTTACGCTCGAGTCGTCAGGGGCGAGGATGTAGCTCTGACGGATTCACTTGAGAAACACACGAAATCGACACACCACGAGAGCATCGATGAGCAAGTCGCGCGGAAGAAACGAAGCGCCCGGCCACATGCCCTTTCACGCATGCGCCGAAACCGCCATGAACGGCGTCCTACTATTCGGCAGTAATTCTGGTGAAAATGAGGATGGATTCTTACTTTTTACTGCCAATCTGGATCGGTGAAGTACTGTACAAGTGAATAGTTGAAGAAATAAAGTCCAGTACTAAATGGACCGTGTGCCTTTGCTAAATTCTTGAAATGGAAAATATGTTCATTAGGTCGCATACTTTTCTTTATCAAGGACCCTCACCCATTTCTAAGGTTTCACCCCATTCACCTCCTATACCAACTTTAATTATCAATAACTTTTGATACTTTTTGTATTTGCTTGCTCTTCCCGTTCTTCAGTCCTGATTTTCTCCGCTCTTCCGTGGAACCGGAGATCGACCGGTTGGACATGACTGTGTGCTAATCGATGTTGTGCACTTAGTGTCCATAATTATCTCCTTTTGTCCTAGCGATAGAGCAATAATTAATGAGGCTAAAATATTTCCAGTAAAAAAAAAAAATATTTCCGGATACGGAAGGTTCCGGATAGAACCATAACCGTTCAGGTGTAAGGAGAGCGACATCTGCCGAGATGTCCAGTGACGCCCTCGTTCTAAAGTCCATTCACTTTGAGAAGAGCTAGTTTCTTATCTCTCGAAGGCCGATTGTTGTCGTGATTAATGAGCGACTGAGGGGAAAGAGGCCATGCAATTAGCACCTTCTCAACCTGGCCTGTTGGGTGACAGTTCGGAGATGTCGAATAGGGATATTCTCTCTCGTCTCTACACTGACCTGTGCTGCGGAGGAAAGAGGACGTGAAATGTAGGGCCCGTGGAGTTTTTCTACTAACCATTTCTAAAGTTACCTTGTGAGGTACATCGGCGCAACATGCACCAATAAAATTGACTCTGACTTTTCTCACAGGTCCGACATGAGACCTCAACAAGTGATTTATGATCCCCATTCGGGCGTGAAAAGAAAAATTGTCAGATATCTCCTAACGAATTAACGGGTTAATGGGTCCGAGGAATCGTTGCTGCCAACCTGGTTTGCCGACTAGCTCTTCTCAAAGTGAATGGCCTTTAACCTCCCTCGTCTGCCTGCATTGCTTCGGCTTGTCTTCCGTGCCCTAGCTCTTCTCCATCTTTGGTTGGATCGAGACATGCAAGGTCAGGGTCCTCTCTCCACTGGAAGCTATTTTATGTGTGAGGTCGTTCTGTCATTGCTGGTCTCAAGTTCTCGATTTCTTCTTGTCACGATGAAGTGAATTTTCAGTCGATCTTTTTTTCTATCTTTTCACTTGCCACCCATTCACTCAATATCAATCACGACGGTCGTGGGTTTCCAATCAGAACTCTTGTCAATCACCCTACCAGAAAAATTAAGCATCTCATCCCAGGACCCACGTGACAGTTTTGCCAACAGCCACCCAAAAAGTTTTTGAACAACAAGAACGTGGCCAGGGATCCATGCATGAGGTTTCCCGCTCGCTAACTCCCGTCTCCAAAATGTCGATGATTTTCCCATTTCGCCCTTTGGTCACTTATTAAAGAGCTCTGGTTCAAGCTATTGCACTCCCCCACGCGATGAACGGTTCGTGAGAATGAAATTTTCCCGTCCATGGCGTTTTCCCGTTTTCCAAAAAGGTTCGAGTGCGATATTTCGCCAATCGCAGAATCAATGGGGCCAATCATATTTTTTTCAGGATCCTTAGGAGTCACTGCAATCCCAGGGAATTCCTATCGCGAAATCCAAGATGGTCAAGTGCACTGCCTGGTCGAGTTCGTATGGAATGACCGTGTTGGTCTGCAACATGATAAGGTTGCAATTCGTGAAAACGGGGCTTTTTGCTTCACCGGCTTGATATACCGGTATGTATTGATAAGTTTGTTAGTAGCAGCATGGCACAAATTGAACTTGTTGGCAGGGCTACTCTGAGTTGGTTGGAAGTGTTAATAGCTCTCTTAATAGCTCACTAACCCGTCCCTTCCTTTGTGGATATGAATAAGTAGAGAAAAGAAAATACTGACCGTCAGGTCACAGAAATTGATTTATTAGCAAGTGCTGCTGCTTTAGATTTCGTTTCTTATTCGCTTAAGTTCTCGATGATGCAGCTTGGATCGGAGAACTTGAAGACATTGAGGTACCCACATTTCCCCATATGATGAGCAGAAGTATAAGGAGCATCCCCGCCGGCAGTCCCGATGCAATTCGCGGCCTGACTCACGTCCGTCTCCTCGCCGACTCCCCCCGTCACGAATCCCTTCACCTCGAACCATCCTTGTTCCGTCTCCGAGCAATCCATGTCCATGTCCACCATCCAATAGTGCTCCCCGTAACTGAAAGCCAGCAATTCCTTGATTGCCCGGACCGGGAAAGGAGAGTCGAAATTCGGCACTGCAAGCCTACGTGTTCAAGGGCTGATATCCAGGATCGTCTTGCAGATTTGAAGTCCAGGCGAGAGGAGTCCCTTCCGCCGACAGCCCATTAAACGTCCCCTGACCAGATTGCTCCCCGTACCAGTCCAACTTCGTGTCTCCTACCCTCCAGGTATTGTATTTCTCGTAGTGAACCGTTTCTCCGAGGGAATTGGTCGTGATGCTGATGGCACATTCGCTCGTCTCCGCGTCCTCCGTGCACCCTGGTTTCGGAAACGGCAAGGAAGCGACCATGCAGACGAATTTGCTGAACCAGTTTCAAGAGCAGCTTCTGACTGCCTAATATTTCCTCTTAAATTTACTATTGAAGCTTTTTAAGCTTTTCTACTTATGCTCGGTCTTGGCACTACCTTTCTGCCTAAATTCATTGAGCTTCTTCCAGAAGTAACTTAAAGAATTAAAAAAAATTAAGGAATCACTTTGAAAAGCAATTGATACAATAGGTGTGCTGTGATGGTTCGTCGAAAATAGTGACCCAACGTTTTTTAATTCATTGCTTTGAGTCCAGAACTTCCCGCACTCTTTTAACACAACACTTTTACAGTATCAGAAAAATTTTGGCATATCCATCCATACCGATGGTTGGATATGCCAAAAAGTTAGGGGAAACCCTTTAGAAACGAAGGAAAGGGAATGTCTGCCTACCGGGGCGTCGCTCGTGTCCGATTCCGCCCGTGGCGAACATGTCCTGTCCTGGTGCGGTTTCTTTTTCAATGAAGATGATTGTTCGATGGATGTAGTTCGGGACTGACGGCTCGGTGGGTTCGGGGGTGGTCGGCTGCGTCGACATCGTCGTGGTAGCTGGATGTGACAGGGCATTGGGATGCAAGGAATATGCCAGCATTCATCAGAAGGGCAAAACGAAAGTCGTAGAGCATGATCAAAAGCATGAGGCTAGGTGGAAATCCAAGTCTATGCAGGAGACGAAACGCCAAAAAAAAAGTATGTTCTTGGCATGTAAAACCCGAGAACGTGATCGCTTCCATTCTTCTATCTTTATTTGGATTGATAAGAGAGAGTCGTAGAAGTTGAATTTCCAATCTCTCTCTTTGTGAAAGGGGCATGTAAGATATTCCGTCGAATGAGAACTGTATATGATTTCGTGATCATTTAAAACACATTTTCTAAATAATGGGCTAGAAGAACTCATCGTTCCCCAATGACTACTTCAAGTACTTTATGATCCCATGAAAATCCCGTGGAACCACCTTGATAATATTTCATTGCTTCCTCCTCATCCCGAAAGAAAATCCCGATTCCCCCCAATGATTGAGCAGTATCAAGAGACAAGAGCCCCAGTCGGTAGTGGAGCGAATCAATGAGCGCCAATCCAGGGAATCTTCCCGAAGTTCATTCTTAATAGCCCTTGGTTTTTTATGGGAACTTTCCACTTTAAATGCTAGACTCGTCAGAATGTGGTTCATAACTTCGCTTTGAATGAATGGATTTCGGCAGCGTTCATGAAATAAATGAAGACATACTACATCCTCTGCAAATTTTGTGAGATGTCAATCATGAGATACATTCGAGGTCTTAGGTCTTTTTGGCGATGAAACCTACGTAAACGACTTGCGTCCTCTGCGTTGCCAGAGCCGCAGTTTCTGGAAACCTCTTGTGAGCAAGGGTCTCATTGCTTCCGAGAATGAAAAAGGGCAGGGCAAGCACTCGGCAGAGACGAAGGGCAAAAAGCCGCGAGAGGCCCCAAGCAATACGAAGGATAAAGGAGACAAAAACAAAGGAGACGGACAGGGTTCGGGGGTGGTCCTGCCTCCCGTGCACCCGACGCAGATGGCCAAGATCGGTTCCATGGAGTCGGTAATCCGGATCTGGGCCGTCCCGTCCCCGTTCACCGTCACCTGCGTCGCGCACCCGTCGATGATGTTGCAGTACGATCCCCCCGGCATCCCTGTCAGCAGTGCAAGGAATTCTCATCCTCATCGATCCTCATCCTCGGCAATTCTCATCCTCGTCCCCGACGATACCGGTCTGGAAGTTCCCATCCATGAAGCCCGACTTGGCCATCGCGAAGAATCCCTTGTCGCCCCGAGAGAAAGCCACCTGATCCCCTTCCAAGGAGAAATTCCCCATCTCCGTCCCCGCCACCGCATTCCTGAACTCCACCTGAAACGAAATCACCGGTCGCATGAAAGTCGTGACCAGACGCGACCGACCCCGCAAACAATCCAGGTACCATATGGGCTATGGGTCCCCATCGGTGCTCGCACACCCACCCGTTCCCACAGGTTCCATCCGGGTTGATAATCACGTCCAAGGTGCTTCATGGAAAAGAAAAGACACATACCTGAAATATTCTCTTTCGCTCCGCCAATCCCAATGACGACTGAAATCGACCGATCCCATTGCCCACATCGACAATAAATATTCCCACTTAAAAAAAAATGTAATTCGAGAGCGATCTGACCGAACCAATCTCCCACGCCCCGCTCACTTGTAGTCATCGTCGTACGGGGGGCTATCGCTCGATTCCTGGAAGAAATAACTGCTCATGACCCGAGTGAAGCCATACGGATGGGCGAGCATGAAAGACACAGCCAGTTTGTACTCGAACGGGCTCTTGTGGGTGATCAGGTCGCCTGAAAGGGAATCCCCATTATGCACCTCTCCATGCATTTATTTTCCTTATAATTAATTATATAATATTAATATAATATAATAATAATATTATTATTATTATTATGTGCCACATGCTTTTAAAATACATATCCTGCCGGCCTGCTTCCCTACATCATCGGTGGACCTTCCCGTGAGGGCTTTCAGTCTACCCCGTCATTCCTGGGTGCAGGCGGACGGGTGTTAAAGGAACCATGACGCCCTCAACAAGGGCGGTAAGCTAGGGTCCTTTAGCCTGCCAAGTGGGCCCGAAGAACAGGAAGAGAGCCTAGGATCACCTGTTTTTGCATGCTTTTGGCCAGAGACCATAATAATAATTATTATTATCATCAGCAATATTCATACTGGCTCGGTCTGCGCCCAGGATAAAAAGGACCGCGGCAGCTGTGGTGCTCCCAGCGCAGCTGTTGTTAAGTGCGTCAATGGAGCACCGGTTATGGATGTGTACATAGCATCGTCTGTTGGAGAAAGTTGACCACCACCAGATTGATGTTATTGATCACAAGGCACTCGATGATCCAGGAATGGGGCACTGAATCATAAGCTTTCTGATAGTCGATCCATGCCACAGAGAGGTTCTTCTTTCTGTTCCTGGCATCGTCCAGGATCATGCGGTTTAGCATGAGTTGTTCCTTGCAGCCGTACGACCCCTTTTTGACAGCCTTTTTGCTCCTCCGACATGATGTTATTGTCAGAGACGTGTTGCTCGATCTGTGCAGCTATGATAGAGGACAACACTTCGTAGGTGGTTGGCAGACAGGTGATGGGCCTGTAGTTCCGAGGTAGCTTGGTCTCAGGCTTCTTTGGGAGAAGGTATGTGACTCCCGTGGTGAGCCAGTCGGGCATCTCCGACGGGTTCTTCACTACTTTCTGCATTTTTCTGGCTAGTTGTTCGTCGCTTCAGCCAGAAATTTGGAAGACGGTCGTGTCCCGGGCTCTTCCAATTTGCTGTTCGCTTGAGTGACGTCTTCAGACCTGACGTTGCAATGTGAAATTCACCCATTTTAGAGGCAGTTATTTGCTTCTTTTGGCGAGGCAGCCAATCGGATTGAGAGTTGTGAAGCACCGGGCGTTCGACCAGAATTCCTCCACTTTCGCCTGACCTAGGATTCGCTTAGTCGCTATCGGTTTTACTCCCAGGTCTCTGTAAAATTGCTTCTGCTTGTTTGTGAAGCACTCGTTGTGACGATTATATTATTATAATAATATTATTATAATATTATTATTATTATAATATTATTATTATATTATTATTATTATATTATTATGATATTATTATACAGGGTGTCCAAAAATGTATGGAAAATTTTCAAAAATTAATATCTGACTAAGTTATGCCTCAAATGAAATTAGGAAAACAGGAAAATGAAGTGCAACTCAAACATTTTTCAACCTGTTATTACAATTCCACATGGGGAGCATTTGTGGCCCTGTAGACGTCCAAACGGTATTCAAGCTCTTACAACAACTTACTCAGAGTGTCATGTATAACTAACTGCCTGGATAGCAGCAACAATTCTGTTCCGATCAGATTGGAGATTGCTTACTCAAGATAAGTTGACAATATCCTTGACATAGCCCCACAAGAAAAAAAATCCAAGAGGGAAGGGTTCAGGCACAATAAAAGTCAAATTTTTATTTAAATATAATAATAATATAATAATATAATAATATAATAATATAATAATATAATAATATAATAATA